GGCGGGTGTGAAACTGACCAGGTCGTTGACCTGATGATACTCGTGGACCTACAATGATTATGTACTACTAGCACGCTAGCTCCATCGAGGTGTCCTTCTGTCTGACGAAAGGAACGAAGCCTGTCTGACGAAAGGAACGAAGCGAAAGTGCAAGTATTAGTTACCAGTGATCTCGACTGCTCCAGTTCCTGTCCTCTGTGGCCGTGACGTGCTTGTCGTAAGCTCCCCAGTTTTCACCCAGCCTGCGTCCCAGACTCCCTGTGAGTGGCACCAGTCCTGCTGTCTCATAGCACGCATAGTATAGTGTCTCAGGCACGGAAATGCGACTATGTAGCCGACAGTCGATGAAGAGCCTCATGAACTCGTCTGCTGACCTGTAACGTGCCTGCCTGTGTCCCTGGCTAGAATCGCAGTCACTGCACACATTGCACACCTGCTCAATCGTCATTGCTCGACCTGATTTAGTGATTGCTGATCTTTTCTTTGCTTGAGCGTGGAGAATGTACGTACAGTGATAATACGCCACGTCCCAACTTCCTAACGACCTTCAACTCCTCACTTACCCTGGGTCAGTCGTCTGCACCGCGCAACACGATCTAACACGGTCCGTGTGCACTCGACTGCTAAGTTACATTGGAAATACAGCGTGGCAATACAGTGCGTGGGAATCGTTCACACTCCTGTACATCCATGCGCGTACACGCAGAGCGCGCGTACACACACAGAAGTTGGAAGTGAAACTAAAACTAAAGCATGCGCATGGACAATTCTGTCAAAAATAATTTTAAATTGAAAGAATGTACCTCGTCCTCAGCCTAACCTGTGTACCGGTAGCAGATCCAGAATTGTTCCACTACTTGTACAAACCACAATCCCCATTATGCATAACACACATCCACTTGTACACATACATGTACATGAGTTTGAGAGTATGATGTGTGCATAGTAGTCTGATCTACACTGTACATACATGTAGGCTGAAGCGTGGCGAAGAGGGAGGAGTGACTGCCCCGACCCTGAGCTGAGGTCCGTCGGTTTCGTTGTCACCCCTGCCTTGCAGTGCACGACTAGTCGACTGTACGCCCTGTATCACCGTGTACTGATTCGACCAGAATGATGTTGTCCATGTGTATGTGTCTCTAGCCATGTACGGTCACGTGATATCCATTAACGTTAGCCACCAAATGTGACCAATGCATCTTCAAGCATTAAAACGTTTGCAGAACAGAATCCTACTCTGTATTTCCAAGTTAGTTTTAGTCGTACTACAGCCTACATGTACTTCTCAGTTCTAACACTCACTCACTGCCTGCTACCACGTATTCCAGAGGCTTCAACTTTAGGATACAGAGCAACAGTATGGCACTATGGGTTTCTTCTCGTCGATCCCTCAACAACTCTCCTTAGTCTAGCAAGGAGAGTTATGCCAAAACCATTTCACATGCACGAATGTGAATGTTCTCTCCTACGACGTCATGAAGTGTTAAGCCAGGCTATCGGAGCCATGCACATGGACTTCAAAGGTCCATCACCGGCTTTGTACTAGCAAGGTGGAAAGAGAGATTGTGTAGCCTTGGACATGAATTAAGCAAGCTTGAACTGGAAGCTGTTATATTGAAGATAACATTGTCATACAAGTCATGCAGATACTGACTCCTGAGGTCTACAGTCGACTTCGCTAATAACGACTGCGGATATAACGACAATTCGCGAATAACGACAGAATTTCCATGCCCAGAGCAAAGTCCCATCCAACTGGAATACAATACAATGAGACTTCGGGTATAACGACACTTCGCGAATAAGGACACTTTTCTGATTCCCCGCCGAGTGTCGTTATAAGCGAAGTCTCATTGTACAATCATGTACATGTACGTCATAGTACCTACTTTTATCACACCATGCTGTACCATGACATGATACAGCACTGATACATTATATCCAATATTCTTGAACTAACTTTACTTGAGTAACAATTAGAATACTGGGAATGGAGCATTAGTTTTGACGCTGCTAAGGACTTTGGACTTGATTCGTACGTACGATTGCAATGACCCATCCATCGTGTACCACACTGTGACAGTTCATGCTGATGGCAAAACGAGCCAGGCCCTGAATTCATTTGCACTGGGACCGGGACTGGAGCCAGTGGAGGATATATTCTTCTAACGACCTACGTATACTCAAGAATCTGTATTGTAGTGGCCTAGCAGACCTAGAAACAAGAGTCCATACATGTAGTTCCAATTACGTGTGATATGTTATTGGCTGCCATTGAGTTTGCCTATCCTTACAAAGGTCCAAACTCCCATGATGTACTGTATCTTGCTAGAACTCATAGTAATCATAGTCCCCATACCCCGCTCATCTGCATGTGGACCAATATTCGGCAATAAGTAAGTTGAACACGTACATGACATTGTGCACAAGTGTACCGTCATGGTTCACAACGGGACAGACACTGAACAGACTTTGTTATTTTACTTTTCTTGATAACTAGACCACGTTAAAAAAGGAGCTCCACCATGAGATGGAGAGGGAGAGAGAGGACAAGTTGTAAAAATTCATAAAGACAAGGTACACAGGCAGCAGAACGAGCAGTTGCGGTTTCGTAACTCCGAGTTTCACGAACTTAAGTTCATCGATAATCAGACGGAAATTGGCACTGACCCTGCCCTAAGAGTACTGCTATGTATATGTACTATGAATGTGGCAAGCCCAGCATAACAATTACCATTATGATACATGTACATGTAGCGCGATATAGAGTGTGTTCCGAAAGTGTTAGTTATCTGTGTATTTAAACTCGGATACTGAGCCAGTAATAAATGTACAAAAGAGAACACACAGCAGTCGGCATTCGTTGTTGCCGCGGGACTCAGCTTGTGCACATTTTCGCTGCGCTCACCTTCCCCTATTCGGTCCTACGTAACCATGAACCTTCCAAGTATTAGTTGGAAGGCTGTTGATTTGCGCACTGGAGATGTATTAGAGCTAGGTCTCGGGTCGCTGAATGTCTCAGTAGCCTGTCAGTTTTGTGCCCTATTATCGCACTTTCTGACCGTTTACCATCTTGTTACAGTCGTGGATAGTTGCTGCATAACTCGTTCTCATGTGTTTCTTCTCTTTTTCACATTTATCTGTGTATTGTTTTAACAATACACAGATAGTGATGTTCTTGTGGAATCAGGTGGCAAAGCTTGACAAAAGGTGTCATTTGGCCTAGCGTTAGCTGCAGAGAGAAAGGGTTACACACAGACAAGGTAACTAGTAGTTTCAACTAGACCTTTCTATTCGTACCATCACTTTTCAAGTCGAATACAAAAAGAAGTCGCCAGCCGCACAACTGTCCTGCATAAAAGCAACCGCACGAATGGACCACCGGACACTGACGATGATGAGAAAGCCTCGGCGATACTCCGTCGCCTGACATCGTCACCGGCCTGCCTAAGTGCAGTCTGCAAACATGGCACTCATTCTCACTTCGCTATTGAAGCGCGTGCGTGCAACAAATCTGACCTTGCTGTGCTGGAGGCAGTGTAGATCTACATAATCATTGCCAAGCTGAAGCCTGAACTGTGTGTGCAAACGAAGTACACATGTATGGAGGAAGGGAGGAAGGGAGAGAGCGAGAGAGAGAGATAGATAACTTAGATAGATAGATAGATAGAGCGAGAGAGAGAGAGAGAGAGAGAGAGAGAGGAGAGAGAGAGAGAGAGAGAGAGAGAGAGAGAGAGAGAGAGAGAGAGAGAGAAGAGAGAGAGAGAGAGAGAGAGAGAGAGAGAGAGAGAGAGAGAGAGAGAGAGAGAGAGAGAGAGAGAGAGAGAGAGAGAGAGAGAGAGAGAGAGAGAGAGAGAGAGAGAGAGAGAGAGAGAGAGAGAGAGAGAGAGAGAGAGAGAGAGAGAGAGAGAGAGAGAGAGAGAGAGAGAGAGAGAGAGAGAGAGAGAGAGAGAGAGAGAGAGAGACGTGGCCGTCACTACTTCTGGTTTCCCAAGACTCCACAGTTTTCACTTTTAGTTCCCAACTCCACGTACATGTAGTTCGAACGACTGGACTCGTTCCCACTGTATCAGCGCCCAAATACCCCTGGCACCTGATTAGATCCTGTGTACTAGTACTAGTATCGGATTTGATCACATCGGTGGCAAGTGCATCATATTGCCCCCGCCCCCACCCCCTTGCGGTATGGGCGAAGGGGGGGGGGGGGGAGGCGAGGGGATTTTCAAACAGGTATGTCCTGTACAGGGAGTCGTATATGCCCGGGTATATACATGTAGGACTCCCTGGTCCTGTTTGATTTTGTGTTTTCCGAGACCTTTGTGGCTTTGTTAGCCCTTGGCGGGCAATACATTGTATACATTTTAATGCCAGCAGAAAAATTGGCACTTTTCTGGTATATCTCATGCAAACTAACTTTGGTATGTGGGTAAAGAATGGAGCAGAGTTCAAGGAAGTGCCTGCCATATGCCGGTGTGTATGGTTCTGCCAATTATTTCCCTGCTTTTCGAGCGGAATCTGCCGAGCATTATCCGCCAAGGCCAGGGGGCTGGCTACCTACCAGTTACTTTCATCATGTTGACTCCACTCGGCCTCACTGCGCCTGACTGCCCTGAGGACAGAACAGAAGTGCATTTGTACGAGATCGAGAAATCCGGTGAAGGCTGCGCAGCGCCGCTCACTGGCGCATGGCGCTCAGATCTACGGAACAACACAGACAGTCAACTGCTGCTGTTATCCAGTAACAGCTGCACAGTCGGACTGTCACTGCACTGTGCCAGTGCAGAGCATCATGCATCAGCATGCCCTGCATGCTGCAAGCTGCTGCTACTGTCCGGGCGGGGTGTCCTTGCCGTCGGCGGGTGGCTTGACTGTCCTCATGACCTCGATGAAATCTCGACCGCGACACAGCCAGGAGGCAGGACGGCCGGATCAAACTTGCTGTCACTGATACCTCTGTGTCAGTGCTGACACTGTCTGTACTGAGTCTGTTGTAGCTCAGGGTTCATATCATATCAGGCTTTGAAACAGTCCGAAAATTTCCCATATTACAGAAGGCCACTTTTCCCATTTTCCACATTGATGTTCGCGCGCTGAGTAAATAATTCTAACCGAATGAGCGTTTCTACTAAGTTGTAGATCTACTAGCAGACGTGCTCTTTGTTTACATACTGCGCTAGTTCGACGCTAAGTCCGCTACACGGAGCAAACATTTCCAGCAGCGGAGGAAGTCGTTACTTAGCACTTTTCCGACCAGAATATTTATTTCAGATCGTTCCATTTCAATTGTTTGGTAACCTCTCCTTGTAGAGCCGAGGACTAGTTAGCGAGTGGTCATAATGCGTAGCGAGTTGTGGATCCTGTGTGTTCTGTGCACACACCTAGCCAGCCATGCCGGTAGAGCCGCTAGCAATGAAGCAACGGAGCACAAGACGCTTCGCGCTGTCGAGAAATGGCACACACAAAGAGTAAGTGAACAGTTGAATGGTGAACGCCCATAGAATACCATAATAACTGCACCGTGAGCAGTGCAGCGCGCGTGGCGTCTTTGAGTTTCTATAAGGGTTTGCCATGTTCGGGTTCTAATTCATGTTTTCGATAATGTACTTGACCTGAAAAGTGGAAGGCGGTGAAAAAAAGAGGAAACAGTCAGTCACGCATGTCGTTGCGCATGGATGTTGTGTCGCTGTGCAGCACTAGCACCAGCGCTCATGTGATGCAGGAGCATCTTCGTACCCTTCCTAACAGCGTCCATTGTCATTCACTGATCAGAGTAGATCAACAGACAGTGCACTAGTGCAGTATCATAATATTATTAATTGTGTCCTTTAACATGTAGTACAATATCATGTAACACTAATAACACACTCTGCTGTCTGTGTGTGTGTGTGTGTGTGGTGTGTGTGTGTGGGGGGGGGGGGGGGGGCTTCCATAGTCAATTCACTTCATTTCTACTGGAAAATAACTAACTTGTTCAGCTTCATTGTTATCACCATGGTTCTATGTGGCAGTCTTAGTGACATCATTTTTGGGATGCTTTTAAAAATTCCAAAAACATTATGAAGGTGGAACTGATTTCGGACGCACATTAGTTGCATCACAGCGAACAGGCACAGCTCAAATAATATTACTACTTGGTTTGCACTACTATTAGTATTAGATGTTAGGCCTGTAATGTCTGAAGTGTGATCGTTATCGGAGAAATGAAAAAATGTGGGGTGGTAAATCTACGACTCGCCAACTCTCCAAAGCCGTAATGTTATCAGGACTGGCTGTCGCAATGAAACTAGAAATGAACAAAATCGCAATGATCAGTCCACCATGGTTAGCACAATGATCAGTCCACCACGGTTAGTGACTGCTCGGGTTTGTATAGACCACTCCTCCTGTTTGACATCACCAGCCATTCTCTCTCTTTCCTGACATTGTGTACCAGAGAAAGATGGTTGAGACCCCTACCCACTCCGACAGTGCTGTTTGCTCTAAACTGTTGTATCAGTGTGCAAACCTGCAAGCTGGTAGTACAGAGATTAGTTCCACTCTTCACTTCTAGTGTCTGGACATTATCTTGAGTGCTATAATTCAAAAAGAGAGTGCCAGAGATTCCTGATATAATGGGATAACTGTAAAATAGCTATGAACAAAATTAAGCTGGCGCTCATGTCAAACAACAAAGCAGCAAAGGTTCAGTTCCAGAACGTTTTCTTGTCACATTTATCAAATGGAATCTCGTGACAATGGAATCTCGTGACTGACTAAAAAGAGATAAAAAGCAGTAGGATAATGTACTCTTGAGTTTAATGGAAGAACTCTTAACGTTCAGTGCACAGTGGCCAGTAACTGCCTCACCACTCCTAGTCCAATATGGGTACTCTACTATCACTAACTTTATGACTGTAGTTCCTATTTCAACCCGGCACATGACACACTAGTAGATGTGGGAAGAAACATGTCCCATGTCCTAGCAGCAGATAAGAACATGAGAAAGTTGGTACGTGTGACATTGTGGGACCTTCTGACACTGGGTCCTTGTCAACACTCAGCTGGTTAAAGTGAATTGGCATGACAATAAATTTTCCCCAGAGGCAGAGGTCCAGAATCTACACTGAGTGTATGGCATCACTGAACACCTGCTCCACTACTGTCACTAGTCTCCAGTCTATTGTTTGTTAGTATTGTTAGTATTCACAGTGGGCACCAGGCACTAAGGCTGTAAGAGCAGAACTTTGACAGCCACTACAGCAAGGTACTAGTCAGTAGGGCTGCGCAAAGCACCAGCACTGAAAGTACCAGCACTGATACAGCAGCAAAATCCGTAGTACTTCAAAGTACTATTCATTATTTTGTATAGTTCTTCACTTCCTGCTCAGTGGGACACCAGGAGAGAGGAAGTGGGATTTTAGAATAGCTTAATGCAATTATCGCATATCCCAAATCTGCCAGCTTGGATCCTAGTAGTAGTAGTAGTGGCCTATTCCTAGCTATCATTACAGGAGCTGTGTATGCATCCTGGAGGCCCCCACCAGCACACACCTACAATAATTAATAGGCTTCCAGTCTTTGGGGAAGTCAGCCTGAAATAAAATAATACCAATAGATCCTCATTGATGATGCAAAGGGAGTAAGCAGGCTGCATGCCACTGGCAGCAACTAATTTTAGGTGTATCTTGTTGATCATGGCTGTACTGCTTTGTGCTTTTGTGTGTGTCTGTGTGTGTGTGTGTGTGTGTGTGTGTGTGTGTGTGTGTGTGTGTGTGCGCGCGCACGTGTGTGTGTGTGTGTGTGTGTGTGTGTGCGCATATGTGTGTGTGTATTTTGTGCTTATAGAATACTCATATAGATGTGGCTAGTCAGTTACCCGCAGCGGCAGGAAGATCACGTCGCCAAGCCACAGGTGGCAGGATGCCCATACGTATCTATGCATCATATGACAGTACAAGCATGAACACGTATGTTATCATGCTTTTAAGATGTTGTATCAATGTCTTTACTACAGTATGTATTTCATTGCACCAGTGGATATTTCGGTTGTTGCTGTGGTGAGCATGCTTCCAATAAGGGTAGTGATGGTGTGTTGAGGCCGCGCTGGGAGGGGGTGGGGGGACGAATATCAAGCACGGCTAACTCTTCCTCATTTCTATCTGGTGCCATCTCCGACAAGATCACCAATGTATCCACTTCACTTCTCTCTTATCCCCTCCCCCCACCCACCCTGTAACCCAAACCGTCTCCGAACACAGGGGAACCATGGTCTTCTGCCACTTTACTTTCACGCATTACTGGCACTGCGGGGTTGCGAGTACCTTTTCCTGGTCGTGAATAAACATGTATTTCCTCTAAATCTGCGCATACACTATATAATCAGACCACCTTGAGAATGGAAGTGTTTAGCTCATAGTCAGTTTAGAATGTCGTCAGTCTTCTGAGGCTCCGGTATAGTCAGGTCTACCTTCTGCCTTTTCTTTCCCTCCCAACGGGCTGGCTGCCCCCCCCCCCCCCCACACACACGCACACCTAGATCATACTGCAGTTACTGTTGTGATTAAAAACAATGATATGGCTTATCATGCCTGCTTTATCTCCCCTTGTCACCCTTGTCAGTGCTACTGAATATGGACAATGAACTTCGATGCTCAGGCAGTGCTAGACACATGCACACCGGGACACACACACACACCATGTATACGCCCGTCGCAAGAGAAGCACGCAAATCTGCAAATGCACTGGATGTGCACCCACAGATTTTCTCTTTATAGCAACGATAGCGGATCTGATTCTGATTGAAACAGATCAAGACAAGCGCAAGATAACTGTCTAATCCACACAACGGGCGAAACCATGTGAATCGACCCCCCAATGCACACCTGGTCTACACCACACGGAGTACATCGGAAAAGGACGGCCAAGACAGTTACCTATGCACACCGTACACTTGCTGGGGTAACCAGTATAGACAGCACGCTGCTTTGATAAAAGCAGACGCTAGATGCACTGGTACCTTGAAGTGAGATTGGAGTTATTTTACCAACCAGCCTCGACAACTGGGTACTGGGAACCCAGGGCCAACAGACGTACCAACAACCTCAGCCATGAAAGCTATATAGTAACGACACACTGGATTGTGGAGCCGAAACTAGTCCAACTTCCAAAATGCTTTGGCAAGAGGCACACACACACACACGCAAACACACCTCAGACCTCAGACCTCAGACATGCCCATCGCGGAAGCGATGATAGCGAACAGCTATGTTAGACATAGCAACTTGTGCTGGGATTACACCATTCAACAGCTTGCAAGGCTGATGAATTGACCGCCACTATTTTTAGCCTGGTATCCACCACACAGCTGTTTGAAGTGACTTTTTCTGGCCAGTGAATCCCTATTTTTCATTTTTCCATTTTTTTACGCACACACACCACACCACATACTCCGGCATACACTGGCTGTTGGTAACCACCCAGGAGAATGAAAGAAAAGTCAGGAAGAGTCCGAGAAAGAGAAGAAAGACGTGTGCGACCATAATCGTCGGGAATTACACACACACACACACACACACACACACACACACACACACACACACACACACACACACACACACACACACACACATACCATTTGAGGCAGTACTCAGTCTTGCCAAGATACCAGTATCACAGCTTGCACACACAGTGGAAGTCACTTAGTACAGTCTACTTGCGATAAGACATTGTCCGGAGCATGGGTGTATTGATACTGAAGTAGGTTAGGATAAGAAGTACCTCGGATAGCAAATACGCTTTCCTGCTGCCCATGTGGGTAACGTTAGGTCTTATCAGAGTCAGTCTACTGTGTCCGCAACACGGTGGGGTCACATGACTACTGTGTTTACACTAGGTTCCAGACCATGGTAAAATAAATACATAAGAATAGTACGCTAGTCACATGACTTGTCAGGTACGTTACCATGGTTACTGGTCACAGCAGTATCAGTATCGGTCTATTCTCGGGAGTGCACAGGAGGGGGGGGGGATGACATTGATATCGAGTAGATAAGTCCTACATGATTCTTATTTGTGGGCGCTGGGCAATATGTTGTAAGATAATGTCTGTCATCTTGACAATAACTAATGTACATGTACTGTGGTAAAGATGATAACGGCAGTAGTACATGTAGTAAGAACAATACATGTAGACGTTATGCGATTACATCATCAGTTGAGATGCTTTGGTGAAGTCGCGGACACGCAGCACAGCGCTGCACTTGCACTAGCCACTCACGCTGCATACTTAGCGCACATTAGAAAATCTGCTGACTCACCCATGATATCCTTCACATAACCTCTTTATTCAGGGAAAGATGCAAACCTCTTTAGCGAGAATAATCACACGAAGTGCATGGAAAATGCTGATTCTCAAACGAATGCCAAGTCTTATAATCATGCACAACTGATGTAAGTGTGAAGAGGTTGGCATACGTGTGATATGTGTCGTGATAGCAATAGACAACAAATGGAAAAAATGCCTAGAACTCAGTATCGTGACTGGTAACGATTCCTTTCTGCCGGCATCCATCCAGTGACGAAAAGGCAAAGAAATTACCTGTGGAAATGTTTTGAAATGTTGCTGGTAAGGAGCCTGGAGTTAGTGCTGCTGTTGTTCAGTATGATTGCATTTCTTGTCTTCAAGAAAGCTAAGATGATCTTGATACCGCTGACAAGAAAATCACATATCTTCATTTCTGCTTCTCTGCTTTCCTCCACTGTAGGCTAACAGCTAGTAAGAGAGAGCTTATCATGGTAAGGTGATGTTGACGCTGACTATCTGTGTGTGTACCCTATTGAACAGCTGTGCAGCATGTTGTCAAGTTCCACGAGGGGGGGGGGGGGGGAGGAAAGGGGAGGAAGATGGAGGAAGCAACTGAGCCTACCCCTTGGCAGTGAGGGGGGGGGGGGGGATTAAGCGTTCTTTGGCATGTGATAGGTGATACTGAGCCAAGTCGTGGTGAGAGTGTATGTTACTTTGTTCTTCTAGCACATGTAGTGATGTTCATGCTTCTCTGCAGACTTTGACCACTGACGCTGTCAACTACTTCAGCTCAGTTTATTCAGTAGTGCCACTGACATCACCTATTCGAGTTCCACGGTAAGTAAAGGCAATACGCCATTATATTCACTGCGAGAGGGAGCAACTAAATGCAATGCTGCAGCAGTTCTAGTAGTAAACAAAGTACAACACGTATCGTAAAGTACCGTTCATCCCTCCCTCACCCCCTCACCCCCCCCCCCCTCACCCCCTCACCCCCTCACCCCTTCCCCGCTGTGCCGGTCACTTCCTGGCTGATTTTTTGGCAGTGGGCGGGAGTTAGATCAAAGTAGCTACATGTACAAGTAGACAACAGATGAGACGTGCCATGCTGGGTTGGGAACATGCCATGCTGGGTTGGGAACATGCCATGCTGGGTTGGGAACATGCCATGCTGGGTTGGGAACATGCCATGCTGGGTTGGGAACATGCCATGCTGGGTTGGGAACATGTCCATGCTGGGTTGGGAACATGTCCATGCTGGGTTGGGAACATGTCCATGCTGGGTTGGGAACGTGTCCATGCTGGGTTGGGAACATGTCCATGCTGGGTTGGGAACGTGTCATGCTGGGTTGGGAACGTGTCCATGCACAGGCATACATGCCCATACACAGGAGGGCATGCGTCGTCGATCCAACACTGTATTTTGACGTATACACTGAAATCGAACTTAATTAAAGGTAGAAATTGGACAGGGGCGGAAATCAGAGAGGGGGTGGATCAGCGGTACTTTATGGTACTGTATGTCGGTAGTAGTAGAAGCAGTCTGAATGCAGATAATTATTGTGTCAAGTAGGATCAATATGCAGCTGATTAGGTTGCCCATACTACAAATCATTATCATTACACCTCTTGTCTTCCCTGGTATCGGCCCTGTGTAATTCAATAATTACTTGAGTAGTTATTTTTGAACCTCTCTCCCCAGGGGACTTTCCTGGGGTGACGCGTATGACCAGTTTTTCAAGTGTGTGTGTGTGTGTGTGTATGTGTGTGTGTGTGTGTATGTGTGCACGTGAAATGTGTTTTTGTGTCGGTCCAGTACTTGCACGGGTGATTTATTCATCCCATCTCTGTCGACACCGGGACAAAGGGCTTGCTTGAACGGCTGTACAGCACAGACTCTGTGTGGTGGAGTTGTGCCTGTCCCAACATCACATCTAACTGTAAGCAGCAGCGGCAGCAACAGCAACAGCAGCGTAAACAGCAAACAGCGGCAGCAACAGCAGCAGCAGCAGCAACAGCAGCATAAACAGCACAGCAGCATAAACAGCAACAGCTGCAGCAGGACATTGCCTTGTGCTGGCTGTGACTGAACATATGTGACCTCTGACCTCTGACCTCTGACCTGCATGTCACATATGGGTCATCCGATTTATTTTATTTCACTCAACTCGTGGTCCATGGCGTATTGGCACACAAAGTGCGATAGAGGGGTGATAGCCAACCACGCCATTTGAAGTTCCTCATGCATACAGTGACATCGGGTGCAGGGTTCACATGGAAAATTCGCTTGCTTTTAGCCTGGTATGTTCATGACATTTTGCTGATAGACTAGCCAGGGAGGGGGGCATCAAGGTTTTATACTGGTATGCGGATGCTTGTTTGTGTTTGCTCTGTGTGTGTGCGCGCGTGTGTGTGTGTGTGTGTGTGTGTGTGTGTGTGTGTGTGTGTGTGTGTGTGTGTGTGTGTGTGTGTGTGTGTGTGCGTGTGCGTGTTTCTTTGTTTATTCAGAATTGTACCCAGTGTACGCAATCATCAGTCTGCACATCCAGTGGCAGTAGTGGTGCGGGTGTCAGCAATGCTGACTTGGTCATATACGTTGGTGCTTACAGCACAATGGCACGTTGCTCTGGTAACACTGTTGCCTTTGCTAGTTCATGTGTGCAAGAAGCGACGTTGGATAGGTAAGATTGCGGGGCTGCATGCACATAAAGCAAGCCCGTTGCACTATGATTATTTTGGTTCATACATATAGTCATATACACCGCATTGCCCTATTCTTGCCCCCCCCCCCCACCTGGGTCGTAAGCAGGTATTTGCCAGTGGCATCACACTAACTAGCCTCATTCATGATGAAATGCGGCCTAATTCATGAAGTAATGTGGTCTCATTCATGATGTAATGTACCCTCGCCCATGATGTAATGTGGTCTCGTTCATGATGTAATGGGAAGTGAGGTACACAGCGACAGTGTATGTGTCTACTTGCCCGCAACCTGTGTAGCTGTACTTGGTACGGCGGTATGCCATGATGCACTCGCTGAATATAGTCACATTTGATAGGGCCTACATCAATCATGCTCATATTATTTCAATTTCCTCACTTGAATACTAAGTCAAACTTAAATGTAAGCCCCCCCCCCCCCCTCTACCAGCCCGTTTGGTCTTGAAGTTGAGTGTGAAAGATGCGATGTGATTTCAGTAAAGTAGAATGCAGAGACGTAATGTTATCACTGTTGTCTGCTGTTGCTTCTCACAGACCAGTAGCTGGCTACATCAATTTGTGTCCAGATACTCTAAATCTTGACACGGCTTCTTACGCGGCAATCCAGGGTACCATTCGCCATGAAATCTACCATATACTGGTAAATAAGACTAATGTGTGTGAGAGAGTGAGAGAGAGAGGAGGGGGTAGAGCATGTGTGTGTGTGTGCGTACGTGCATGTGTATGTGTGTGTGTGTGTGTGTGTGTGTGTGCGTGTGTGTGTGTATGTGTGTGTGTGTGTGTATATGTGTGTGTGTGTGTGTGTGTGTGTGTGTGTGTGTATGTGTGTGTGTGTGTATGTGTGTGTGTGTGTGGCGTTCTGCTTGCATCATACAGTTGTACCTGTACTACGAAGTAGTAGTGTAAGGAAACAGAAGAACATGCTGACACTCAGTCTGTTATCATTTCTGGTTTCTAATCATTTTCTGTTTTTGGTGTTGCTATCCATGCTGCCACTGTTGTTGCTGGGCGGTGGTTGCTGTTGTGTTGTCTTTCAGGCATTCTCTCCCAGCTTATTTGCCTACTACCGTGATTCATCTGGAAATCCGTTGACCGCTCGCCTGGCCAGCCGACCCAACACTCCAGCAAGCGGCTTCGTGACGACCACAGCGTTAGTGAACAGATACGCATTACTTGAATGCTGTGCTCTGGGTATTGTGCGTCTTGAAACACTCTTGACCTACCTTGCCTTGCGTGTCAGAGTATTGAGCAGGGGCGGATCCAGGAGGGGTTCCAGGGGTTCCGTGGAACCCCCTAAATTTTGTAAATGTACAACTGGAAGCCACATGCATGTGCATATACATGTACATGTATCAGCTAGTGTTCAGTTTTGATTAAACTGGAACCCGCCTGTAGAGATCGCTGGATCCACCGGTGATGAGTGCCCTCACTTCGAATTATATTCATACAGCTGTGGGTATTGTTCATTTGATTGTTCAGTAGATCTGTGATAAGCCCTACTACTGTCGTGGACATGGAAATCCGGTCGATTGACCGGGGCCGGCGCCCTCGGCGCGTACAGACCCGCTGCGTGCAGGGTACATGTTGATCCGATACGACTAGCGCGCTGCAGCGCATAAAATGCATGTGTGTACCGCTTATCCACGGCTGAATGGCCAGCGCCCTGGGGCCGCTAGACATGCGACCGGATTTCCATGTCCACCCTACTAGTACCAACATGGCAAGCAGGATAGTGTACAGTTAACCGTTGCCAATAGCAACCCGCGACTGTGCATGAGAAAAGTGTTGTCGTTATTTTGAGTTGTCATTAGTCACAGAGGTGCCAAATCTCCCGATCAGTCGGGAGATTTCCCGATTTTGAAGTTGTTTTTTAAACATCTCCCGATCTCCCGCCCAATATCAAAAACAAGTTGCAGCCGCCTTGTAGCCGTTTTTATTGTCAACTTCGTCAAACATGCACCCACCCACCCACCCACCCACCCACCCCAGTACGGGAAAAAATAAAATAAAAAAGCATGCACATGCAGTAGATGGTATAGAGCCAGCTACGTGCGCGCTGCACCTACATGTACATAATATTGAATTACTCTTGTTACTCGTTGGCTTTAGTTAGGGAGACTTTTTCATTAATGTTAAAGTGACGCTCCTTAAATTATTTAGTAGATCTGCCATCCCTGACGTACCGCAGTGTACTGACTGTAGTGGTGGTGCTGGTTGATGTTGTGCACTGCACCTATATCATTGTGGTGCCCCTACTACGTGACATGTTGTATAAAACGCATGTATATTGCTGGAAAAAAGCACTCGTTCGAAGGCCAACCGACCTTCCGCCTGCCCTCCCGCCTGCCGGGCTACCCCCTTGGAGGGAGATCTCCCGAGCAAAGAATAAAATGTAATGAACTTGGCAGCAGTCTGTATTTGTAAGTTGTTACAAGTATTCAGTCGAATAGTTTCTAGGTCTGATGATTGTGTCATTATTTGTGAGCTGTTGTTATACGCAACGTGTTATTCACAATGTTGACTGTACTTAGTGATCCTAGGTGCCTGTGTATCTTATCCAGCCATCATTATTGATTAATGCACCCCCCCCCCCCCCATACAGAGCACCGGTAGACAATGCAATGTGTGTGTGTGTGTGTGTTTGTGGGTGTGTGCATGTGTGCATGTGTGTGTGTGTGTGTGTGTGTGTGTGTGTGTGTGTGTGCATGTGTGCATGTGTGTGTATGTGTGTGTGTTTGTATCCGGATGTGTTCTGCTTGACAGGATTGCAGGTTTATCGTTTGTGAATGGCAGTACATATCAGTGGAACAGTAATACGGTCAGACCGATGACACTGAGTGGTTGGGTGGCTGGAAGTGCAGCACCCACTACTCTACAGACGTACTACATGGTTACACCGAAAGTTACGGTAAGGCAGACGGTTGGCTGTCGTGTGTCAAATACCACTTGAGTATATAGAATGGAACACAGAATAGGAGGACTGGTGGTGGATCCAGAGGAGTGGCCCGGGGGGATCTCTCCTTTCACTTTTTTCACAATGGGTTCCTATCATGGCGGCTAGTCCCTTGTCAGTACTAGAATGTAAAGTTAGCTGCAGTTGTTCCGTGGAGGATATGCCGGAGCTGCAGTTATCCTGTAGAAGAGACGCTGCCTTTCAAAACACCTTGACAGCAAACTGTGTTGTCATAGGGCTGAAAGTTTGTTATCAATAATGACATATCTTCCTTGATTGTTGTCCCCAATGCTTTCTGGACAAGGTACTATGCTGGCATGGAGACCCAGTTTTCCGTTTCTCCAGACATCTTTTGATAGTATTCTAGTGGTATGCAGCTACCCACTGCCCACGTTGACAATGTAGCACCTTTCTTGTAGGTATACTCTTTACCTACTTTTGTTAACATGATCCTGACCCTGACATGCACCTTAGGTATAGTCTTTACTAGTGTTGAAACGAATAATCGAATAATCGAATAATTTAGAATATTCGTGGGGTGAACGAATAATCGAATATTCGTAGGAATTATCAGAAATCGAAAAAAAAAAAAAAAAAAAAAAAAAAGATCTATGCTCAGTGCTGACCCTGCTGATATTTGCAAGGCGTAGATCTGCTCGCAGTATTTCTTCTCAATCTCTTTTCCTCTAAGTTTTAATCACCTATCGGTATCTAGTAATACTTCTGTTCTTTCCATACGAGGGAAACATGGATGCAGTGAAGATCCAATTTTGGCAATTACGCTCGACCAAGACCCTATGCGATATGCAGAGCTGGATCAGGCGTTGCACACTCTGGGGGGTTATGTACTCTTGGCGGTACATGTTAACCGGTTTTGCACCTCCACATAACAAAACCCGATAATCAGCAAAAAAATTAATATAATATAAAAAACTACTGAAAAAGTGCTGAAAAAGTGTTGAAAAATGCCATCATGCGTACGATAGAATATAGATTATTCGTTCGATGGAGGGCGAAATTATTCGATAGATTATTCGTTCGAAGAATCCGTGTTCGGTTTAAACACTAGTCTTTACCTACATGTACATGATCACCCTGACATGTTAGGTTTACAGCCGTAGTATGTGGCTCTTTCAACGCTGATATTAGCGCCTTGCTGGCTCTATGTTCTCACTGTATCACATGGTTTGTGTTGCTACTTGTTCATGCCTCCGCTCACGCCTTCTCTATGCTCAGTCTACTCTATTTGAGTTCCTCTTTACCATCATTTTTCATTCTCAAGTGAAACACCAACATGTTTCAGAAAGCGGCTGGCCCGGTTAGGCTGAATCAAATCATTTACAACTTCAAGACACCAGTCAGTGTTTTCCTGCCCATGTAGAACTTCAGCGGCAAATCATAACCCGACAAGTCACTGCAGCTGTTTCCCATGTCGACTTGAAGCCCAAGCAATGCCGGTACCAGTAACTGCTAGAAGTAAAGCCAGTTTATGAAATGGTCTTGAGTGCAAGTAATCGCCTACCTCTGTACCGCAGGCATCATGCCATCATGCCATCATGCCATCATGCCATCATGCCATCATGCCATCATGCCATCATGCCATCATGCCATCATGCCATCATGCCATCATGCCATCATGACATCATGCCATCATGACATCATGCCATCATGACATCATGACATCATGCCATCATGCCATCATGACATCATGCCAATACAGCTATGACTGTACTGATATGACTGTTTGATATTTCATGCTGCCGGCTTGTGTTCCTTTTTCGTGTTTGCTTAGGAATTTGTGCGTTCTCACTTTTCCTGCCCAACCCTGGAAGGTGCCATCCTTGAGAACCAAGGTGGAGAAGGCACAGCGCTGACACATTGGGAAAAGCGTACATTTGAGGTTTGTTGTGCTAGCATGCCCATTTGCACACTGACAATGTGTTTTGGCAGCATAGCAAACACACAGCACTAGAATGATTCTTTGGGGCAACGCACCACTGGCACCACTGCATGGTGCTCAGTCTGAGGAACTGAATGTCTCCTCAGTTGTACGTACTTTCTCGGTCGGATAAGCAAGGCGTTAGCGGGTGACACAGCATAAAGTAATTTTGGAAATGAAGAGTGCATTGCCGTTCACACAACTCCCGGATTCATCTCCTCCTCCTTCTCCTCCTCCTCCTCCTCATACCTTCCTAGCTTCTCCTTTGTATCGATGGATAATGGCAGTGTGTGAATGTGTTGTTTGTGATTGTATTGTGTAGAATGAAGTCATGACAGGCACATTCACGCAAGACTATTCCTATTCCAGATTGACAATGTCTCTGATGGAAGATACTGGGTAATGATTTATACCGAAACATGTTACTAAAATAGAAGAAATCACATGGAAACATAGCTCATAACTCACTCGTTCCCATGTGATTTATTATTATATTTATTGGCTCAGTATCCGAGTTAAACTGCAGCATATACTTTGAAGTAGTGCAGCGGCTGTTAGTGAGGTGTACTTGCATACATGTTTCATTTCAAATAGTTAGCTGTGCTGTCTACTGAAATGCCTGATTCCTCAGTGGTCAGGGGGTTTGATCATGACAGTGATTCAACCATGCAGTTCACTTGATCAGTTTGTCATGTTATTTATGTGAGTTATTGATGTGATGTAGTTAGGTGGAGTCTCAATCACCACTGTGACTTTTGATTTATCGATCGTGTGTGTGTGTATGTGTGTATGTATTTTATGTGTCTGTATGTGTGTATGTACCGTATTTTCCGGGGTATAAGCCGCACTTTTTTTCGCTAAAAATCGGACCAAAATCGCCCCTGCGGCTTATACACCGAATATGCTTGCGCGAATGAATGCTAGCATACATCAGTATGCATGCTGACGTCATGTGACATGTCATTCGACTCAGCTTCGCGCCTGTGTTGCTATCCCGGCACTTTTACTGCATCAGTGGCATCCAGACTGAAGATAGTGCAGATGACATGGAGTGATCTGTAGTCAACACAGCAATACACCAACACCTCTGCAGCAACCTGTGCCGGCTGTGGTGCACTAACACTTCATAATCATTATTTCTGATCTAACAATGTATTTAGCTCCTGTTGGAACGTTCTCCATTTGTTAGTGCTTGTCTTCGTTTAACATGTATATTACTCAGTATGTCGTAATTGGACACTGCTCGATTATTCTTACCTCGTGCGTTTCACTATTTGTAACGTGGCTCCTCTGCTTCAGTTTTCGTTCTATCTCTCTGGCAGGGGCAACCACCACCCGTCTGGTGGGTGCCAGCATCCTCCGGCAGTTGCGCTGGGACTCTACGATACATTCTTGTTCTTCGATAATTAGAAATCTGCCTTTCTAGTTCTTCGCTGTTTGAATTATTATTTATTTGTGTTGTTTCTTGCGGCACTCGCTTTTGTGTAGATTTGACCTTTTTGCATGTCCGCGTGAGTACAGATGACATCATGCATTATTTTCTGTCACGTGTTTTGCTTTGAGCGTGTCGTTCAAGATGTTTGAACTGCGCCCGCTGGCCGATTTTCTTTGCTTGCTGTTTTCTTTGCCAGTCAAGCGTGGGGACGCTACGGTGTCGTCCTTCTTGGCTGTGTGTCCGGTACGGGGCCGGGTACGTGCGTCCCCAGCTCTCCGTTCTTTGTTCTTTTTGAGTTAGATTCTTCAATGGTGTTTTGAGAACATGTTTGGTAATACAGTCTTCTAAATAGTTCGATGCTTCCAATGGTTGTGTCTGATGCAAGTGTGGGTTTGCGAGGGAACCGGTGAACCATTTGGTCCTTCGAGCCGGATCCGACAGGTTTCGACTAGTAGTGTCAGCGGTGGTAATGGCGTTTCCGCCACCACCAGAGTTTGTGACTCGTAGTTTTACGCCACGCCATTATGGTACGAGCGTGGGTGAAACTCCTGTTGAGGAACTTGAGGACCGCTGGAAAGAGTTGATTCGTCGGAGAACAAACCTCCGTAGACGCCACACGCGGATCAGTACCGCTTGCGAACTCTGATTGCTTGCTCGTCGCCGTCTCGCCGATATTTGCAGCCTGATGTCCGTGAATTAGAATTTGTACGGTCAGAGCTGAATTCGGTTTTAGAAATTATGCGCAGCATGTTGGAATCCCAAGAGAGTGAGCAACTGCTGAATGAGTTGGACGAGTGGGAGGCGAAGTTTGATAAGGAGAGTGTTGGTGTGATGGCTGCTGCTGAGGCGATCTTGGATTCGCCTGTTGAGTCGGTTTCTGGCCAAGTGGCATCAGGCCAACAATCAGCAGTCGCAGAACAGGTTACCCCTGTGCCACCGTCAACACCACCGCACATGCGGCCTGTGCCACCTCTACCAGCACCACGCACACGGCCAACACCACCACCAAAGCCAAGTAGTCTGAGCAGCAGACTAAGTGTGACGTCAGTTGGTTATAGTGCTCCTGCCAGTAGACTTTCTGAGTGGTCTCCTCTAACGGAATCTGCTGTCGACCCCCATGTTAGCGATTGGCTTGCCAGTATGCAACGGCCACATGGAGTAAGCGCTTTTCACCATCTGAAGCCACTAGAGCTGCCCAAATTTAGTGGCAGGACCCAGCAGTTTGTACGGTGGAAACAAACATTTAAGCGCCTCGTGGACGAGGACCGCTTCGTCTCTGACGAATATAAACTGGCACGACTGAAGGAGGCGCTGCAGGGTAGCTCGGCCGAAGACATTATCGCGGATATGTTCGACGGTCCGGGTGCATACACTGCAGCCTGGACGGAGCTTGAGCGCTGGTTTGGTGGTTCTGACCGCCATCTTGCCTTGCAAGAGAGAGAGATTCTGAATCACCCACGCATTGCCTCTGACAGGGACACCGAGTCTGTCCGGAAGTTTGCTGTCAAGCTCAGAAATGTGCTCATGAACCTGGACTTGGCTGGAGAGACCCCTGGTAGGGAGCTATTTCTAAGTGCGCTGGAGAAGCTACCCAGAAGTGTAGTTATACGATTTTACGAACAACATCCAGACAGCAAATGCAACGCAACCACGTTGTCGTTCTGGCTGGTAAAACGGGTCCAGAACGCTAAGCGAGCCGATGACATCTTGGCGACAGTCGGCACAGAGAAGTTGAACAAGACACCTCCTGCGGTCCCGCCAAAGCCTAGGTCATCTGCTGTGTATGCTGTGGAGCTCAGTACTCAGCAGTGTGCCAAGTGCAGCAAGAGCCATGCCACAGCAGAGTGTCCGGAATTCAGGGCGCTGACAACCAAGCGCCGCTGGGACCTGGTCAAGCGTGCCAAGCTGTGTAGCTGTTGTTTGGAGCATGGACACTGGGCGCGTGAGTGCCAGAAGCTGGAACGTTGCCACTGTGGAGAGAGGCACCACTCACTTCTGCACTACAGCAAGTCAGTGCAGCCACAAGCTGCAGCGCAGAATCCAGCTACGATGCGACCAGCAGCTACGGCACCTCGGCAGGAAAGTTCTCACCATGCTAGTGTCAGCGTGCCGCAGACTACCGCTTTCGCTACCGTGCCAGTGAAGATTATTGGCCCAACTGGCAAGTCGGCAATCTGTACGGCCATGCTGGACTCAGGCTCGACTGCAAGCTTCATACGGGAGGATGTAGCCCATGAGTTGGGCATGGCAGGTGAAGTTCACATGTTGAATACATCCACGATTGGTGCGCAGCAGACCTCCGGCTATCGGGAACTGGTCAAGGTGCAGATGGAATCCATTGATGGAACAGTGTCATACCCGCTCAAGGCATGGGTATATGATCGTGTGACGAAGAAGACGCAGGTCGTCGACTGGAGCCGGTACAAGTCCAGCTATGAACATCTAAAGTTCATAGACTTTCCCGAAATCTCCAGCACCACGGTCGACCTCCTGATTGGTCTAGACGTCATTGATGCCCACGCATCACTCGCGGAGTACAGAAGCAGCAGCGGTGGACCAATTGCCCGTAAGACGCCACTGGGATGGGTGTGTATGGGCCCAACGCCCAGTGCACCCAGTGATGACGAGTTGTCTGTCAACTTCGTGCATGCTTTATACGGCGAATGCAGCATAGACGGCCTGGTCCAGAATTTCTGGAATCTGGAGGCAGTCGGTATGAAGCACGAAGGCACCTACATCACCCCTGCAGAGAAGCTGGCTGAGGAGATCGTTGAAAAATCCATCAGCTTCCATGATCAGCGAGTCACCATGGCAATCCCATGGGTCCACAGCAACGGCGAGCCTGGTGTCACCGCTAATCGCGCCATGGCGGACCATCGCCTGCGCATGCTAGAGAAATCGCTGGACAAGCGTCCAGAGCTGAAGGCAGCATACGGCAAGGTCATCCGTAGCCACATTGACAAAGGCTATGTGCGCGCAGTGTCGGCAGCAGAGGTTGAGGCAGATGGCGACGACCAGTGGTTCCTGCCGCACTTCGCCATTGTACGAGACGACAAGGCCACCACGAAGGTACGTGTCGTCTTTGATGCTGCTGCCAAGTATGACGGCACGTCGATCAATGAGTGTATGTACCCTGGACCCGCTCTGCAGAATGACCTAGTGAAAGTGCTTCTGCGGTTCTGCAAGGAGCCAGTAGCGCTCACGGCGGACATTACCGAGATGTTCCTGCAAGTCGTGCTGGCTGAGCAAGACCGCCGATATCATCGCTTTGTGTGGGACTCACGCGTATACGAGTTCCAGAGGTTGGTGTTCGGCATCAAGGCGTCTCCGTACCTGGCATGCAAGGCGCTACAAGTGGTGTGCCGCGAGACAGCCGACAAGTATGACCCAGCCATGTTGCAGATCGTTGACCGAGACATGTATGTGGATGATCTGCTGCACTCTGCTGTCTCCGTACCGGAAGCCATCCGCACACAGCAGACAGTACAGGACATCCTGGAGCAGGGCAGCTTCCACCTCCGCAAGTGGCTCAGCAATAGCTCGGAGGTGATGGACGGCGTACCGGAAGCTGACCGCTCACCGCAACTCGTAGCTAGCATCAATGATCATGATCACTGTGCGCTACCATCAGTCAAGACGCTAGGCGTGATGTGGTCGGCAGAGGATGATACCTTCGCCTTTGAGTTCAAGCCGCCCGCAACAGAGAAGCTGACCAAGCGAGCCGTGCTGAGTAAGATGGCATCTATATTCGACCCACGCGGACAACTAGCTCCCTTCACGATTCGCTCTCGTGTCATGTTCCAGGAGCTGTGCATCCTCGGCGTGGGCTGGGATGATCCACTGGACGCTGAGCACACGCGGAGATGGACATCCTGGTTTAGCGAGCTGGGAGATCTGGCGCTGATCCGTGCGCCGCGCTGCTTCAAGTGTCCGGGTCGCGAGTCGTCTGTCGCTACATTGTCGCTGCACGTGTTCACGGATGCTTCAGATGCCGCCTACGCCGCTAACGTGTACGTCCGTGCGGAGTACCCAGACGGCAATGTGCGAGTGACGCTAGCACTCGCCAAGGCGCGTCCATGTCCCATTAAGAAGATGTCGATCCCGAAGCTGGAGCTGAAGGGTGCTGTGCTTGGTGTTTGCCTGGCCAAGACAGTGAATGACGCGCTAGATCTGCCGCAGGCTGATGCCACCTACTGGTCCGACTCGATGAACGTGCTTCACTGGGTGAGAGCACATTCCAGAAAGTTTAAAGTCGACGTGGGCAACCGGATAGCTGAAGTACAAGAGTATTCAGCTGGCAGCCAGTGGAACCACGTTCCTGGAAAGCTGAACCCAGCCGACAAGGGCACCAGAGGCTTGACAGCAGCCCAGCTAGCCAGTGATTCAGTATGGTGGAACGGCCCTGAGTTCCTCGTCCAGCAGCACACTGAGTGGCCGTCTCGTCAGATAACCGTGCCAAAAGAGTTGCCTGGAATGGTAAAGCGAGCGCAAGTGATGGCGTTCGCTGTGCAGCAAGTGTCAGCGGAGGTGTTTCGTCTCCACCCCGACAACTACTCGTCATGGAAACGACTAGTAAGAGTGACGGCCTGGTGCTACCGTTTCATCAACCGGTGTCGTCGACGTCATGCTAGCACGAGAGGGGATCCGGAAGCAGCGAGTGCAGCAGTCGACTCTGTGGAGCTGAAGTCTGATGAGCTCCAGCGTGCCGAATGTCACTGGTATGCGATCGCACAAGCAGAGAGCTATCCCGCTTCGTATCGGCAGCTGACGTCAGGGAAGTCCCTTGCAGCGAATGACCCGCTGCTACGGCTGAATCCAGTGCTCGACAAGGATTACCCGTGTGTGCTACGCGTTGGAGGTCGTCTGAAGACTGCCAGCCACTTGCCTGAGCATACCCGGCATCCGATAATCTTGCCACAGCACCATCGGATTACTCAGCTGATAGTCGACGCCGAAGATCGCAAGTGTGATCACAGTGTTGGCCCAAACCACCTCTTGGCAAACCTGATGCTGCGGTTTTGGATCATCCGTGGCAAGGTTGTCACACGATCTCACCGTGCACACTGCGTGCTCTGCAAGAAGAAGTGGGCCACTGTGGCTTCGCAGCAGATAGCACCGCTCCCGCTATTCCGAACAGCTCCACCGTACCGGGCATTTTCAAGAGTGGGAGTTGACTATGCCGGTCCGTTCCGAACAAAACAAGGACGTGGCAAGACCCAGCTCAAGAGGTACCTCTGTGTCTTCTCTTGTTTGCAATCTCGAGCCTGTCATTTCGAGATGGCGTATGGCCTGGACACCGAGTCGTTTCTGCTAGCATTCACCCGTTTCTGCAAGCGCAGAGGCGTGCCAGCTGAGGTCGTGTCAGACAACGGGACGAACTTTGTCGGTGCAGAGCGCGAGCTAAGAGAAGCCGTTCAAGCGCTAGGTTCTGATGAAGTGGCCGCAAGTATGGCCAGCCAAGGAGTTCACTGGCGCTTCAATCCGCCTCTCGCTCCGCACTTTGGCGGCGTATTTGAGTGTGTGGTCAAGGCAGCAAAGCGCGCAATGATGGCAACTCTGTCCCAGGCCAATCTCACTGATGAGGAACTTGTAACTGCCATGGTGAGTGCGGAAGGCCTGCTCAACTCGCGTCCGTTGACCGCTGTCCGGACTGACGTGGATGACGCCGCACCGCTAACACCGATGCACTTCCTAGCTGGACAGTGCGAGCTGACTCTGCCACTCGAAGAAGTCGCTGAGTTGCACCCACAGCGTCGTTGGCGGCTCCTCCAACAGCTCCTACGTGAGGTATGGCGGCGATGGCTTCGAGAAATAGTGCCTCGGCTGAATGTGCTTCAGCGATGGTCTCGACGCAGCCGCAACATCAAGCCCGGTGACATTGTCCTCTGCATGGACAAGTCTACTCCAAGAGGGCGTTGGCCGCTAGCCAAAGTGATAGAAGTGTTCCCCGGATCTGATGGGTTGGTCCGTGTAGTGAACATCAGAATTGGCGCCAAGCAGTCCAAGCGGTCGATAACGCAGTTGGTGCCGTTGGAAGTTGAACCCATCGATGAAGGTACCGGTCAGTATGATGATCTCACGACTTCCGATTAGTCTGGAGTCGTTCGTGAGAGGGGAAATGTTGGAACGTTCTCCATTTGTTAGTGCTTGTCTTCGTTTAACATGTATATTACTCAGTATGTCGTAATTGGACACTGCTCGATTATTCTTACCTCGTGCGTTTCACTATTTGTAACGTGGCTCCTCTGCTTCAGTTTTCGTTCTATCTCTCTGGCAGGGGCAACCACCACCCGTCTGGTGGGTGCCAGCATCCTCCGGCAGTTGCGCTGGGACTCTACGATACATTCTTGTTCTTCGATAATTAGAAATCTGCCTTTCTAGTTCTTCGCTGTTTGAATTATTATTTATTTGTGTTGTTTCTTGCGGCACTCGCTTTTGTGTAGATTTGACCTTTTTGCATGTCCGCGTGAGTACAGATGACATCATGCATTATTTTCTGTCACGTGTTTTGCTTTGAGCGTGTCGTTCAAGATGTTTGAACTGCGCCCGCTGGCCGATTTTCTTTGCTTGCTGTTTTCTTTGCCAGTCAAGCGTGGGGACGCTACGGTGTCGTCCTTCTTGGCTGTGTGTCCGGTACGGGGCCGGGTACGTGCGTCCCCAGCTCTCCGTTCTTTGTTCTTTTTGAGTTAGATTCTTCAATGGTGTTTTGAGAACATGTTTGGTAATACAGTCTTCTAAATAGTTCGATGCTTCCAATGGTTGTGTCTGATGCAAGTGTGGGTTTGCGAGGGAACCGGTGAACCAGCTCCATAACCATAATAAATTTGTAGAAAGGCCATTTGTCAATGAGTGTGAAATATTTTGGTTTGTGGGTGCGGCTTATACTCCGAATACCAACTTTTAGTCAATATTTTGCTTCAAAAAGGGGGGTGCGGCTTATACCCCGGTGCGGCTTATACCCCGGAAAATACGGTACATGTATGTGTGTGTGTGTGTGTGTGTGTGTGTGTGTGTGTGTGTGTGTGTGTGTGTGTGTGTGTGCGTGTGTGTGTGTGTGTATGTATGTGTGTATGTATTTATGTGTCTGTGTGCCTGTATGTGTGTGTGTGTACATACATGTGTTGATGTTGACGATGTGCGTTTGTCACGATGTGTTGCTATGTGTACATGCAGTTGGTATGGAGTAAACTACAGCTTAGCCGATGATCTGGTTTGGGGCAAGAATGCTGGTTGTGACTTTGTAAGCCAGAGCTGTGGCTCATGGATGACAGCCAGGAACTCCACGTAAGCAACACCTAGTGTGTCCAGTCCACGTAAGGAACACATACTAGTGGCGTGTCCATGTAAGGAACACTTAGTGTGTCCACGTAAGGAACGCTTAGTGTCCATGCAAGGAGAGCATAGTGTTCACGTAAGGAGTGACTCGAGAAAGGAGCTACTTACGGGATATGTGCTCATGGGTTCTCACTTTGCTGGAACAAGTGACTGTGTGACTAGCATGCAGGATATTGATAGCAGATAAGCCACCGGGTCCAGTCATGTACACGTACGTGCATGCATTCACCATCTCTCATGAGCTCAGTCCATGACTAGCTTGCAGATTTTCCGGTGCATAAATCAAACAGAAAGCAAACAGTCACTTCACCACTCCACAAGGCACTCTCGGCCGACCCACACAAGGCACTCTCGGCCGACCCACACAAGGCACTCTCGGCCGACCCACACAAGGCACTCTCGGCCGACCCACACAAGGCAAAGAGAAAGCAAGGCCGGAGAAAGCAAACACTTCACCTAGTTTCTAGACTACTGTCGTCTCGGAAGGGAGGACGAGCTGCCTCTTCTACGTTACCCTCGCCAGGCCACACATCAAAACGAACTTGTCAAGTGGTTTTTCTCTAGAGCTAGAGAGAGAGAGCTTTTCATTAGTTTACTTCAAGCGGCGACGGAAGAACTCATAATGAAGAACTAACACTGACAGCGAATGACTGACGACTGTCAACGAACGACTGACGACTGACAACGAACGACTGACAACTGACATGGCAAAAGGAAAACATGATATCAGAAATTGGTGCCCTCGTCAGCACAAAAAGTGGTGTACTCAGCACAAAAAGGTGCACGTGTCAGCAACAAAGCAGCGCAGCAGCAGCATGTTCGGATCAGCAGCACAGAGACACAAATACAGCAGCAGATACGACAAAGAGACAACACGTGCAGCCACATGTACACACAGAGACACAAATACGGCAGCAGGTACGACGAAGAGATAACACGTACAGGCACATGTACAACACTACCATATAGTCAAAATTGTCATTATGTAGCAGGATCGAACAACCAACAACACATTCAAACTGTACATCGAACTCTACGACTGTACAAGCCAGCTGATAATACCGTATTGTACCGTTGTACACGACGAACGGGTACTGTGACTCGTTTGCTAACGGATCAGCAGCTAAACAGGGTACCCGGATCACCCCTTTCACCCCTTTCACCCCTTTCACCCCTTTCATCCCTAGTAATAATCATTGGTATGCATGTCGGCTACAGTGTACTTGTGCTCAGACCC